CCTCACTCTCTCTCAAACTCAAAGGAAATTCCCTCATCCCTTCCCTTTAGTTTTCCTGAGTGTGTGTGTGTGTGCTCAAGAAGGTTCTTCAAACTCACATACTAGGTAAGTTACTTCACACTTAAGTTGATTAACTCCATCTTATGCTAAGATCTTTCCTCAAAACAACATCATTGTCGTGTTTATGCTCCTAGAATCCTCTTGTTTTCGAAGATCTTCCCAAAGGAACACTCTAGGCCAAAAACACCTTCAATCTTCTCTTCAAAACTCAACTAACACCAAGGTGAGCTTCATACCTCTCCTTTTTCGTGATTTACTAACTTTAGGGGGAGAATACAAGTTGGTTTTGTGTTAAATCTAAGTATTTATGCATGCTTGTGTGTATTATCATGATATGTTGTGTAAATATGTTATGAAACTATGTTTTACACTCATGAACTCGATATATCTTCCAAGACTTGAAGATATTAGAAAAACAAATTACTATATGTAACTCATTATGATGTTGGAAAGATAAAACATGTTAAGGATACTTGAAAACTAAAGAAAACCTAATTAGGGGCCATATTTGACAAATAAGCAAAAAGTGAGCCTTTTATGATACTCACGGTTTTAAGGGGACCAAAAGAGTCATTTTTGGATAAAAATAGGTTATTATGACATTCACGGTTTTGTAGGGGTCAAAAGTGTTATTTTTGACAAAAATGGGTTTCTTTTGGGCCTTCTCGGTTTTAATGGGCTAAAATGGTCATTTTTCATAAAAATGGGCCTTATTTGGAAATTCACGGTTTCATGGGCCTAAAATGTAATTTTTGGCCTTTATGGACTTAAATTGTCATTTTTAACAAAAATGGGCCTAAAATGTAAATCCTCGGCTTAATGGACCGAAAATGTCATGTTTATCAAAAATGGACTTAAAAATGTCATTTTTATCAAAATGGGCCTTAAATACCCATTTACATGCTTATTGGGCCTCAAATACCCATTTACATGTTTATTGGGCCTTGTATATTTATTTCATGTTTATTGGGCCTTAAATACCCATTTGCATGCTTATTGGGCCTTGAATATTCATTTCATGTTTATTGGGCCTTAAATACCCATTTACATGCTTATTGGGCCTTGTATACTCATTACATGTTTATCGGGCCTTGTGTTCTCATTACATGTTAAGTGGGCCTTATACGCCCATTCACTCTCTTATTGGGCCTTACGACACATTTTATACTAATCGGGTTGATAACATTAAATACTTGACATTTTGATAAAAACAAATAGTATTTTATCACCAATGTTTTGTAATCAACTACATACTCGAAACATTACTTAAAGCGATAAATAATGTAATACACTGTTCGCGTAAATTTAGTTAAGGCCCTTGTGAGACATTCCTTCATTCGTACCTACGTAGTGTACAACCGTAAGTCCTGTAGTTATAACCAGAGTATCCTGGAGGGAGAGCGAGAGTTTATGTATAGATCTATATGGGGTTGAAACCCCACACCTGAGCTGTTCGCTATAGCTAGACTAGGCCAGTCTAGGGTGACAAATATCTTACCTTAAACAAGCGACGCCTGAAGAACGTCATGACAGGCATAATAGTCACATCAAGCATGGTTATAACGACTCACATAGAGATTAACAACACAATAAATTTACGGAATACACATACTATACTCTTGATACAATGTACAAACTATACATTTACGACATTACTCGGGTCTTATGGTTTAAGACTACAGCTCTTTTACAAACAGAAAATATCGGATTTTCTGGAAACTACATACTACACGCCGCAGTTTACAAACACCAGAAAATATAGGATTTTCTGGAACTCTCTTTTCATACATTGTCAAAACCGGAACACACATGCTTTAATACAAGATTTGAAACAAAACTCTCAAACCATTTCTACAGAAAATATCGAATTTTCTGGTGTTCACAAAATGTTACAAAGTTTTTCATACAAACATACTTATGAACTCACCAACATTATATATGTTGACATTTTCAAAATAACTTGTATTCTTAGGGACACGGTAAACAGGTCAGTCGTAAGGAAAATGTGGACTTTTGCTGTATTTTTGTTTCATCATACATTTAATATTTTGGAATGTAATTTGTGAACATATACAATGATGTAAACCCTGTATGCTGTATTATTGAATGTATGGTGATGATGTTGTTTTTGATTCATTTATACACACTGTGATGATATTACAAGATAAAGTCACCCGCCCCCGGACGTTTTCGTCGTCTGGTTTGGGGGTGTGACACATAACACATAACATATTAAGCACGAAGCTTAGTGAGTTCCCCAAAATACCACACATATCTCATTAGCCTCTCATGGCTATACTCGAATAATACCCTCCGGTCCCACAACTCGGGTGGACCCTCCGGTCCTAACTCAGTAAGCTCAGAATAATACACAACATAAATCACAAAGACATAATACAGGATATCACAATACTCAATATAAGCACATAAGACCCTCCGGTCACACAAAGATTACCACTCTAGGTAAGTATAGTAAGAAGACTCACCTCGAAAGCAAGCAAGCAAATAAACCTCGTACACGAATCTCCGAACTAGCCTCCGCCTAACACATATGATAATTATCTCTAATTAACACTTAAATCACGATTCTAAATAAACTAAGTTATTTTCCTCTCAAACTCTTGGTATGGGTAAAAGACCATTTTACCCCTCCACTGTCCCCATAATCCCTGTCTTGACCAAACCCTAAAGTCAACAGAAGTCAACACTCGAGTCAACAGTCCATGTTGACCCGACTTGCCGAGTGCATCTATGTGACTCACCGAGTCCCCATTGTTCCTTCAGAATTGTCGCGAAAACCCAACTTAACTCGTCGAGTTGTCTCATCAACTCGCCGAGTTACCCATGTCCAGATTCATCAGGGGAAAACCCTAGCCGACTCGTCGAGTCAGCTCATTGACTCGGCGAGTCCATTCAGTCTGTATTCTCATTCAGACGTTTTAAGGCAGATCTACCACTCCAAACTCTAGATCTAGTCTCCCAAGGCTCGAATGTCACGTAAAGCTTCGATATTTACGTTCATGCATGACATATTTGCTCCATAATGCCAATACAAGCTCCAACAAGGGTTTGGTGCTCATAGGCTTGCCTCTAGCTCCATAAAGCTTAGGTCTTTGAGCTCACAAGACCTCCTACAATCTAGATCTGAGGTTTCAACCTCAAGATATGCTCAAGTGACTCAATAACACAAGAAGGATGGGGAAAAGCTCTAGAACTCCCCAAACTAAGATCTTCACAAGAAAAATGATCAGGATAACATCTTTTTTTTTACCTCAAACAGAAGCTATCCACTAAGAACCTCTAGATCCAAACGTCCCTCCTTGCTCCAAGCCTTGATGCTTTCCTCTTCTTCTCTCAAGGTGCACCAAAATGCTCAAGATAGCATCTCCTTCTCACACAACAAGCTAAAACTCGATTAGGGTTCTTCACAGTGCTCAAGGGTGATGAGGGAGACGGAAATGAGGGCTTAAGGCCCTTTAAATAGGGTGCAAGCCCTAAAATTAGGGTTTTCTCAATACATACTCAACTCGTGGAGTCTAGCCTTCGACTCGATGAGTAGGCTTTATAATTCGCATGGCCAGCTCAGCCCCTACACGACGAGTCGGGACCAACCAACTCGTCGAGTAGGTTTTCCAAAGTGCATTAAAACTCTTAAATTTCTCATCCATGATTTAGGGTGTTACAATATACCCGTAAATGTCAAATTTAAATATTAAGATGTAATGGATCAGTTTAATGTAGTAGTACTTTTAAATTTTTTTTATGTTATTATATTTAGACAGAAAAAAATTGTACCACTGCTATCATAATTTCTACTTCTGCCACCGTATATAATAAATATTTCACATCAAATTTGTGTGGGTGAGCCAAGGCTCACTGTAAGTAGGCCTAATATATATATATATATATATAT